GGGCACAGGCAGGCGTTTTTTGATACTTATAAAGATAGGTATTGCTTATATTTGTGTCCCTCACATAGACTGTTCTAAAGTGGGGTCTGGGGTGTGTTAAAAGATCTCATACACAAAGTGTACCGTTACAAAATAAATTTGGCAAATATTAGACTATGTAAAGCCAATGAAGTTATTCTCAGCATTATTTAATAAATGTCCTTCATCTGTAAGTAGGAAATAGATGGGAAAGAAGTACTGTATTTTCTACTGTTTGTTCATTTGCAAATTGAGTGATGAAAAGAAAGACCTCAAACTAATTAATGCAGGAAAAGCAGTCACGGATGTCAAGTACAAAGTAAAATCTTTAGCTATTTAATATTAGCATCATATATATTTTTATAAATGCACTTGGCAATATAACTTTTACTAAGTAGTATTATTTGGATTTAATTTGTGGCATTCACTCTGGCAGCATTATCCTAGACTACATCTGTAACATTTTCACTGTTAAAAATATCTATAAAATGTCTTTAACTAGGAAACCCTCAATGGAAAGAGTTAAATAGTATGAATAAAATATACCTATATAAAAAGAATTCAAATCAAGTCAATGTATTCCAGAGAAAGGATTAAACTATAAAATTTGTTACTTGTACAAGTTCCTTTTGGGTATCTGGCACTGAACATTCATTACCCTTCATCCATCACACCTGGAAAATGAACAGATGTTAGAAAGCTGACACAGTAAGGCAAAACATCACTATTTAGCTTTTGTTTTTTTGTCTCCCATTCAAGATGCTACTAATGGGAATGACATAAAAATCTGTATATGGCAGCAATTCTGAAAAAGAACATCTATGTAAATAGAGCATGAAGGAGGCATGAAAGAATCTAGCAAGCTCCATTAGGGTCTTTAGACCTAATAGCCCAGATTTGGCCCTTAGATGTGCGTGCATGCACAAGGTGATGCTGAATTTGACCGAAGCTGTGCAAACAGTCCAAAGGCAAAATGAGCCCAATGCTTGATGCCTAAAGAGTTGAAACTGCAATTTCCACATGAAATAGTCATAGAAAAGCTGCTCGGGCAGAGAGGAAATGCCCTGTTTCATCCTCACTGAGATGAGAGAGATAATTTATGAGAAAGAAATGTTAAGTCTTTGAGTTTTTTTTTTCCTTAGGGCTGCAATAATAACCAGATTTTCTCTTAAATTTATTTAGATCTGTTAATAGGAAATTTTATTAAATAAAATATTTTAGTACAGTCACAGGGTTCTTTGTGATCTATCAAAGTCAGTGAAAGATTTAAAACTTGTATGTATGTAGTATGTATAGAACTTCAGCTCACCAAAATGAATCCTGTGCATTTGCTTGAATATGCAATGATGCAATCACTAAAATAAATGTACTTGCTGCACTCAATTAAACATTGTATTGTACATGTGTGTTTATTCAATTGTGTGATGATACAGTGATTGAAACACACACGCTTGGTGCATTTGTCTCAATCTGTAGTACATTTATTTAAATGTACAATCAATCACAGGCCTTTGCTTTTAGTTTTCCTGTGTATTTTTTAGAGCATACGAAGTGTAGACCATTGTGTATGCTGTGACAGAGTAAAGCACCTGAATACACATTTAAAAAGTGATATAAAGTTTAAATATCAGGGACAAATTATGCAGCTAATATGTACAAATGAAAAACTTTTAAATATATACATATATTTTTTAAATTAATTTTATTGAGAAAGAAGTAGTAATGAGACAGTTTCAAAACAGGTTATTAGGACTGTTACAGTAATTAATACATTGCATATTGTTGTCTTTGTAGTAGTTATTCATAGTACAAGATGCAGATATGATATCCTGTCCAAACACTATTAGTTCAAAACTTTCTTCTCATTAAACTAAGTTATATTCTGATCAAACAACAAATTTGATATTTCACATTTCAAATAATACTCTAAGAGAAGATTAAACTTTGCTGCAATGGGCAATGACATATTCTGGTATGTAGATAAAACATCAATATCAATACAGGTTTTACATTTTAGAAAGTTCTAAAACATATAACAAAATTCTTAAACATTTTTATGTTTGCTAACTTACTTCCTAAACTTTGGTCAACATGCAAAAAATAATTTTGGACATTGTTAGACATTTTAAATACAGTTAATAAAATCAAACAACTTGTTTTATTCAATGCTTCAGATTAAAAAATACGTCTATTTAACAAGATACTAGATATGCAAGGGCAGCAAATGCCAAATGTTTAACAAGGACATTTTAAAAAATTCTAGTTGGGAATTTGAGCACAACCAAACTAAAATCTGATTTTCTTTCATTCCCTACAAATATGTAAACTCATATTAGTGATATTGATTCTGATTGGAACCTGCACATTCTGATTAAGTAAAATATACATATTCAAACAAATAGTTATATATATATTTTTGTTTGGAAAAGTAATGACATGAGTACAAAGTATTCCACTGTATATAAAATTAGTTACCAAGGTAACAGAATTTCTTATGCACAAAACCTTAATAGCCAAAACCACCTTGGCTCATTTTTATTGATATCAAGTTACAAAATAATTGTGTGCACTGTTATACTTCTTGCACTATGATGTAACAAATACTACTTTATTCTAATGTTCTCAGAGGTACACTAAACATTTTCTATTTCTTCTAACTTTGAAGCAAAACAGTGTTAATCCTGGCACCAGTAGTAAGCTCCAAGAAAGAGAAATAAGAAAGCCATTTTGTACATGAATGGAAAACTGTGATAATACTTTTGGCTAAAAAGAGAAGAGAGATAAAGGAGCTAGCTGCAGGGTCAGGACTGCAGTGAGCCAACTAAGGCATTTATTATATGCATGAGATATAAGGGTCAGGCTGGGGAGAGAGCTCAGTAGCAGAGCGCCTGCCTGGCAAGTACAAGGTCCTGAGTTCAACTCCTGGTACCCTGCAATTAAAGTAAATCATATTAGAATGCAATTTTTTTTAATTTAAAGATTCATGTGTTGAATAAATTCAATAAACAGATAAATGATATAACAAGTAACAGGCAAATATAAAATGAGATTTTTAGATTGTTAATTAAGAAGAAGACACTGTTACTTTTCCAAAGAATAGAATTGGGTTTTCACAAAAAGATTTAATATAGCACAATGTTCAACAGGGCAAAAATTTATACCCAAGGTTGGTATAATTTTAAAAATGTTCTGTTACATCCTTGTGAGTGAGAGAGACATACTAGAATTGAAGTAACTTAAATATTCTTTTAGAGATCTACCACAATAAGGTAAAATATAAATCTGGTACAATAAACTACATCTGGGAAATAAAACAATTGTGCAATCTTACCACTGAGTTATTCATTTTACCATTAGTTTTTAGTTGATAAAGATGCTCCTAATTCCCACAGATTTAAATACAGAAAATTAAGATACGAAATCACACATAGTAATAAGTAGAACACAAGATATTTTCAATATCTTTGTTGGTACTTAGAAGTCTCAAACTTCATGAAAAGCTAAAATATTGAATCTTTCAAAATTTAAAATTTTCTTCTTATGAATACAAAGTGGGTTCAGACTTGAACACAAGTCTCTGCATGACTGCCTCAAGTGATGGGTCAAGTGGACAGTCCTCACTCATAGCACATCAGCGTTAATTATTTAAACTAGTGACAGAATCCTGAAACATCAATTGCAGACCGTTTTAATTGGGTAATGTTTCTCCACTATTGGAAAAAGTAACATAAATCTTATTCCAGTTTTTTTCCCTTTAGTTGGAATTTTGAAGAAAGCACAATCCATTTACTGCTAACAAGACTGTAGTATACAACAAGGAGCTGGCCCTGCGCACCTTCACTTTCTGCCACTAGCACCCCTCCCGCTTCACTCCAGTTAGGCCTCCTTGGTCACACAGCATTTTCTCTCTGGGATGCCATCTCCTGAGTTCTCTCATCACTAATTTCTTTTGATCCTCCAAACATCAGCTTAAATGACGCTATTACCATGCCCCTTGCTGTTAAACCACCCTCTCAATTTTCTTAGTCTATTCATTGCCTCTCTCTTGTTCTGTCCCATTCTTCTGTACCTCTACCCTTGTGCCACTCCTTACAAGGCAAATAGTTGGATTTTCCCAGCTTTGTTGTTTTATATTTGCTGGAGGATCTCTAATGCTGAAATAATTAATATTATTTGGTATCAGAAGTGACGCTCATGCAAACATGTAATTTTTAAAGAAAAACTGAAACTGAAAAACAAATGAAAAAGAAAACATGCTCTAAGGAGTCTACATAGGGAGAGGTGGAGATGAGAAAATGATGGACAGATGCAGGCAGTTCAGTGGGATTAACTGTGGAAAAGAGTTGAAAAGCTAGTGGTTTTCATGTTATAATTAAACTGTTTCTCACATCAAAATTAGATAAAAATTGTCCATAGAACTTTCCAGGCTATCACATGTCCACATTGCATAACTACTTAATAATAGATATAATTTCCATGAATATAACTCATAAAAGTTATTTTTATAAGTATAAGGTATGCTTCTTGAATATAATTTATGCTCGTTATTAAATTGTTATAAGACTACCTCTTCTTTTTATTTCAGATATTTTCAGCTGAGATTATAGATATATTTTTTTTTCAGTTATTATCTCTGGAAGAAGAAATAGTTATTGGAAGAATTTCAAAGCCTTGCACCGGTTCTGTGAGAGGATTGCTAACAAATGCTGATAAATTTAGAATCCAGTTTCCAATTAACCTGGATGTTAAAAGTAAAGCATTGATTCTTGGCGCAAGTTTCCTCATTGTGAGTTGACTTTTATTATTATTATTATTATTATTATTATTATTATTATTATTTATTTTTTTTTTTGGCAGAACTGAGAATTGAACTCAGGCCCTTGTGCTTGCCAGGGAAGCACTTATCCTACTGAGCCATCTCCCCAGTTCCTTGACTTTTATTCTTACCTGGACATTATGTTTTCTTTTTTTATTCTTTTTTTTTTTTAAATAATGTATTTAAGACAGTGTCTACAGGATCCCACTACGCAGATCGGACTCGTGGTGATTGATTCTCTTGTTTCAGCCTTCCACGTGCTGGGATTACCAGTGCGCACCACAGCACCCAGTCTCAATCAGTGTCTCAGCGTACCCCAGGGGCAGGGCTGGCACTGCACGCCAGGTATCGAACCCCAGCCGCTGCGCTCACCCAATCTGGTGCTTTAGTCCACTGAGCTATCTGGCCAGCTCTTAGGTTTTCTGATCTTATCAGCACATCTTTGCTAATAGCTCTTCTCAAATCATTTGGTTACCTGCAAGTTGTTCCTTTTTCGTCACCTTCTGTCCCCAAATTACATCATATCTTCACACAGCAAAATCTAGAGTGCCTGAGAATCATGATCATTGAATTTTAAGTCTTTTTCTTAATGGAAAAAAACCCCTAAACATTAACCCTCTGAAAATAGGAGAAAAACAGTTTTATTCAATAAATAAATTACTGGTGTTTGTTACAATGTAACATTTTGCTTATAACTTTTTTGTAGCATTTCATGTAAATGTAAAAGTACTATTACTTTGGAAACTATTTTGTCCTAGTCTGTTTTGCTATTACGAGAGAACACTTGAGACTCAATAATTTATAAACAATACAAATTTATTTCTCATAGTTCTAAAGAGTTATTGAAAGTCCAAGACAAGGCCTTGGTTGGCCTGACATCTGGTAAGAGTTCAGTAATTGCTTCAACGAGGGCGTCTTGAGTCCTCTGTCCTCCAGAGACAGAGCACGTGTGTCCTCAAGTGGAGAGCAGCCTGGAAAGGCAATGGGATTAGCTTATTCCCTTCGGTACTTCATTTACTGAGCAGGCTCCCTTGGCCAGACCATCTTCTAAGCGTCCTACCCCTTAATAGTAATGCACTGGAAGTTAGTCTCAACGCAAGGTATGGAGGGATGCTAATATCCAAGCCACACGTAGAATCTTTCACAAGGAAAACATTCGTATTGCATATATTTGGATGCTAGGGGCAAATATCAGAAACTACCTTTCCACACTAAGGGCTGGGAATGTGAAGGCCACAGAGGGCAGTCTCTCATGGGCATGCAAGCAAGATGATGTGGCTCAGGGACAGAATAGAGCAGGAGGAGATCCAGCTGAGAAAAGCCAGTAGATTGAGAGAGATGGATGGAAAAAAAATTATACTTTAGTGTAGGGACACAGGAAATATGGAAGTCCAGAATTCCAAATGAAAAAAGAGACCAAGCATAACTGCTAAGAAATTTCTAGAACTAAGAAAGTTGAATTCAGTTATTCAGAAAGAATATGTCTCAAGAGTAACTAAAAATCAACATCTATTGGACAGAAACAGTGGAAGCCAAAAGGCATCAGAATGTCTTCAAACTCCGGATTTGGAAAACCCAAGCAATTTCAAATTCTGTTTTCTTTCTATCTTTCAAGCATAAGAGTTGAATAAAAATAATTAAATTAAGAGAAAAAGTTTTGTAAGATACATGTCATTTTTAAGGTAGAACTTTTCAAATAAGGCACATATATTTGAGAGATCACCTAAAGTTGAATAAAATTTGAGAGCAAACAAAATTTTAACTATCTTTATATATGTAAATTTTAAAACATAAAAATACCAAGTGTCTAATTTAAAAATATAAAATTAAATTTATTAATTAAAAAATATAAAAATACCAAGTGTCTAATTTAGGAAGTTAAAAGGAAGTAAAACTAAGGTAGTATCCAGCAAAGCATATAAGGAGGAGGGGAGAATATAGAGTCAGAGAGATGAGAATTACAATATTGAAGTTACTGAATGGCTTACAGCATGTGGCTAAGCTATATGTGCATGCTAAAATTTTATTGATAATCGTGAAAATACATAAAAGACTATATATTTCAAAATGTGAAAATATGAAATAAAATATAAGGAAGCACAGAAGTCACTTGGGAAAAATAAGGAGAAAAATATGAACAAATCAGAAAAAACAAAAATACGTAATATAAATTTTTAACATTTACCTATTCATTGAGAGAGAGAGAGAGAGAGAGAGAGAGAGAGAGAGAGAGAGAGAACTGAAATTCGAAAACATATATGATGTATGTGAAATAGTATATTGAACAGGTATCAAGCTAGAAAGGGCTCAAAATAAATACTTCTGCAAGAATTTTGGCATGTTCCTGGGAGTAGTTTAGAGGCTGGCATTGTGGGGCTAGAGGCCCACAGGCCAAGCAAGCATGTTGCATAAACAAATTCATTATTTGGACAAATAGGATGATGATGAGCTTGATGCAGGCCTGTCTTCATGCCCAAGGATAAGCCAAGCTGGTTCCTGAAGCCCACTGAATATCTGAATCTGAATGGAGGAACCTTGGTGCTCAGCAGAGTCAGGGACGGCCCGTTGGATGATCCACGCGCCCGAAGCTCCTAGCTTGCTGTTCCGACGGCGCTACCCAAGAAGCCCAACAAATGAAGCTGGCAGGCTGCCTTTCAGCCTCAAGCTATGCACAGCTGTCCTTCCTGCCTGACGTCTTTCTGATAATACGCCTATGTTGCCTTTTCATTTCTCACTTTAATATTTAGAGGATGATATTTAGAGGATGCTCAATGCACTGTTTGAATGTGCTGGCGACTGCCTTGCCTCTGGTGTGGGGGCCGCCGCCGCCGCAGCCCTGCCCCGTGAGCCTCTGGGCCGCAGCCTCAGCAGAGTCTGAGCCTCAGAGCCTCGGTGGGCTCTGCTTCCGGCAGAACGCACCTGACAGGTGGAAGGAGCACCTGAGAAGCAGACCGTGGCTTTTAGGGGCTTGTGTAAGCTTGCTGTTTTGTGTTTTCCTGCTGTGTATTATGTGCACTTTATGGTGATGTATGGATTTGTGTTTCCATTTTATTTGAGAAATCTGTTCAATGTTAAGGCTTTGATTAAAGAAGTTTTTATAGTCTGAAAAAAAAAGAATTTTAATGACCTGAACACTAAGGATATTTTATGTAGTAAAATAGCAAAATATAACCATAGCATAAATCACTTGTTTCTGTCTAGAAAAAAAATGAACAAACTTATTAATGGTAGATTTTTAGAATTTGAATATAATATTTTCCCTTCTCTTTCCCAATTTTCTACTATGAGTATATACATTTTTTTAAAATATGTATAAATAAAATGAGCTAAAATTTGTTGCTGATCGCTAAGGGCCTTTGTACTGAAATCAGTTACTTTGATTTTCTTAAAAGTAGTCTAAAACATTTTCATGCCCTTAGATTTTGGTGCCTGAGACTATCTGAGAATTTTGTTTTCTAATATGTTTTATTCATGCTATTATTGCACAAAACCTAAGAAACATTCATATGCCTAATACCTATAGCCATTTTTACTATTCAACTAACCTAATTACATTTATTTGTATTTTTATTCTAGGACTACATGTATTTTGAAATCTGCCCATAAGAATCATTCTGAAAAACTGCCAGAGATGACTTGAATTAGCTGTTGCCAACTTTCAGCAAAATTAAATAACTTCACCTGAAAATATACATTTATTTTGGTAAAATTACTTGTATAAATTCGTACCAAAATTTAGTGTCTTAAAACAATCAGTGTATTTGGCTCAGGAGACTGCTGTATGGTTCTGACCACAACCTAACTCACTTATGGGTACACAGCCAACTAAAAGACTGGCTGAGGGCTGACTCATCTTAGAAGGCTTTAGTGACTTAACCTGGATGCTAACTAGGGCATCAGAGGGAATGCTCCATGCATCTTTCACCATCTACAAAGTCAACCAAAGCACTTTTTAATTTTTTGTTAACATATGTTCCCACTACACAATGTTTGTATTCCTTGTGTGGCGTTGGTACGTGAACATAGTGCAGCATAATTCCTTTTTCCACTCCCCTTTCTTCCTCTCACTCCCCTTGCCTCCATGTCTTTTTTTTTTTTTTTTTTGTACCGGGGATTGAACTGAGGATCCTGTACTTGCCGGGCAAGTGCCTATTCTACTGAGCTACCTCCCTGGCTCTCACCTCCATCTCTTGATCCCTTTCCAGGTTGAGCAAGTTCTATGTCCTTACTCCTATAATCTATCTTTTACACACAATAACTATATTACAAGAGGAGCAAGGAAGCAGATTCAAATGTTCAAGCTCATTTTCAGCTAAAGCAAGTTCCAGCTCTTAGCCTAGATTCAAGGGGTGGAAAAATAGACTCAGTATCTTTGGGGGAGTTACTACAAAATATTGTCTCCTCCCCCAAATTTACCATTGCCTAGGCTGTGACAACAATTATTTACATTTTGCTAATATATAAAAGATTCTTAACTCTCATAGTATTACCAGAAGTCTGTGTCAAGCATGACATCAGGGTCAAGTCAACTAACATAGGATTAGTGATTATTATCTGTGTGTGTATTTTTTTAGTGAAGGGTCTTCAGAATGTTCAGGGTCTCACTACTTGATTGGACTCATAGTGATCTGTCTGTTTACAGCCTCCCAAGAGCTGGGATTACAGTCATGTACCACCACGCCCAGTCTCAATTGCTGTCTCAGTGAGTCCTGGGTAAGGGACCTGCATGGCAGGCCTAGGGATCAAACCCCTAGCCCCTGTGCATGCTTGCAGGCGCTTTATGATTAGTATCTTCTATTAATGCAAATCAGCACATATGGATTCGGACCTGACTTAAAAAAGCCACTGAATATTCATTAGTTAATTAAGGCCATGCTAACAAAACCAAGAAATGGAATCCATACAGTAGTCACTAGTACATAGTAAGTCTAGAACAGGTCATACGCTTCCAGTTCCCCTTACACTTGGAATAGAGCCCAGCTTGCTGGACGTGGCTCTCAAGCCCACTGTTTTAGTCTGCCCTCTGTGATTTTAGTTTTGGAGCTGAGACATTTGTCTTTTTCTAAGAAAAATAAAAAGCCATTTATTTATCTAAATACATTTCCTGGCTGGCTTTTTGTTTTTTTAAAAAAAATTGGAGATAATTTTATTTGGAACTTTCTTCATCTCTTGGAGCCTATGTTTGTACAACTTCTTTTAAAACTAGAATTATGTGGTATTGGATTTAGTCTACTCAACTGAAAGCCATATGAAAATTTTATTTATTTATTTTTAATCTGTTGTTTATTTGGTCCAGGGTCTTGCTATCCAGCTTAGACTCATAGTGATCCTCCAGTCTCTGCCTCCCCAGCACTGGAATTACAGGCATGTGCCACCATGCCCAGTTTCAGTGGCTGGCACATCATGCGGTACCTGGGGTTGAACCCAGGTCCTTGCACTTGCCAGGTAGGTGCCTAGGCTGCCGGCTGTCACCCCCACCCCCATATGATGTCAGACTTTTCTCTCTGAACTTATTCTTCGCTAACCTAGTTTCTTTATGTGATGGATAGGTTCCAAAAGGCAGAAAAGGAGCATACTCATATTTTTCAACTGTATTTTATATTATGTTTGTTAATGTTCCAAATAGACACTCAGCTAAATCCACATTCTAGGGATACTGAAAGAGACCCCACCTCTAAGGGGAAGAACTGTGTAATACGTTGGACTCTTCTTTCACTATGTAGAACAGCATTTAACAGGTGATTTTCTTTGATTTATTTTACCTGTGACATAGTTTTAAACTTGTGATCTTA